GGAGAATGAAAAGGAGGCAAAGAGAGAGAGGGAGAGAGGGAGGGAGGGATAGGGAACACTTCCTAGGCTTTTAAATTATTGTTATCTTTATAGAAACAGAGAGTAAAGAAAATGCTCCTTTGGCTCAAGAAGAGACAGGATTTCTGTCAAGAAGTCCTCATGTTGTGTAGGTGGTAGAAGACTTAGTAAAAACTGCTTTGCAGATCTCCCTGTGTAAGGATGTGTTCCTAAGAATGAGTGGGCAGAGCCCATCCACCTACCTCCACTGAGATATTACTGGGTGACTTTTTCCATCCATTACTACTTTGGAGTTCAGTGAACACATGAAGCCATGACAAATAAAAAAGTAAGTACCTTTATCATTTTTTATTTTCCTATTTTAAATTATAGAATGTTGCTTTCTTCTGAGAAAAGTATCAATAACAAAATAAATAATGTAATTTTGTTATTTTGATATTTTATGAATGAATTTAATATCATTTATGAAGTAAGCCTTTTAATAGAAGTGGCAAATATATGATAGTCTCTGATGCCATGTTTCCATGTATCAATAAAACAAAGGTGGTCTACTTTAGTAGAATTCTGGGAGAACACCATTCAGCAACATCTACCACAATCTCATCCTTTAGTTCATCAAAAGCTGTGTATAAAATATGTAAGTTCTACCTCCATCGACTGACTTCTTATTTGTTGATGTGTTGTCAATTGGTGACTCTACTCTCTAATAGCCTTCTAAAATCTAAACTCAAGCTTTCAATCTCTGCATCTTAATGACAATTTTATGACAGTGTTCTCAAGTACATGAATTATTAATGACTTAAAAAAAACTGATGGTTTTTGAATGAAAAGATACAATCCTAGGTATAGAGACTGAATGGTGTGCCTGGAGTGAGCTGGGGTGAGGGGAATGGAGGCAGGCACCTAGCAGCAGGTGCAGCCCATTTCTCTACCATGTGCTGCATTTGGCCTTTGTGATCCTTGCCATGGTGTCAAGGTGGGGGTCTAACTTTGAGGTAAATTGTAATCTCTCCTTATGGTTTTGTTTTTTAATCCCCTTTAGACTAACCTATGGATCTAGGAACAAAGTAAATGATATCTACCTTCACTACCCTTAGTAGAAAGGAAATGTTTTAAAACAACCAGTGAAACTTTCTGTCACATCCCATCAAGACTCCAAGGTAAATGTTTTTAACTTTGTGATATTAAAAAATAACAAGCTGTCCAGGTAAATGTTAAAGAGAGGAAATATTTAAGCAACTGCTATAATCAGTTTTTTTTAAAAAACAAGACCAGATATAGGATAGGTGTTGACCCACAAAAGAATTATAAATCTTTGATTTCTTGCACTCTAAGACAAATTACTGCTGAGGCTGGACATTAGTAGTGTTATATTTCATTGTTGTGAAAGAGTTCTTCAGAATATTTTTATCCTGCAAAACTAAAATACTATATTTATTAAATAAGAACCCTTGCTCCTTTTTACTTCCCCCTAGGACCTGGTAGTTACCATTCTGCTTTCCTCTTTATGTATATTTTAAAATGTTTAAGAACACATGCATAAATGGAAAGATTAAAGGAAAAGAAATCAGGATATGTGTTAGTTCAAGAGAGAAGGAAGAAGGTAGTGGTAACTAAGAAATAAAGAAGCAACTTCTGAGGCTCTCACTATTTTTCCATATTTGATCCAAGTAGTAGTTACACAGTAATTTTCTTAATAAGTTTATTTTAACTGGACGTACATATCTTATCCATTGTCCTAGAATATAAGATCACTAATACCCTTTAAAGATACACAAAAAGTTAATACCAGAGTTAACTGCACATAGACTTCTTCATTTTTATTAATTATTATTTTAATTATTCAAATATATGGGAGTACAGGGTGATAATTTGATACATGTAACTGTAAGGCACATAGATGTATACTTAAGTTGATGACAATAATTCTATGGCTATAAACACTGTTTTCAAGAGTGAAATGCTTTAGAAAGGACAAGAAAAAGTGTCCTTTCTTTTACATTGATTATCTGAGGTATTTTTTAGTGATGGAAATCTGACTTACACAAACCTCTTTAATCATAACAATGAAAGATAACATTCAAACACTGTACACATCACTTCATACTGTCAAACTCATTTCTTTCTTTCACATTAAACAGGAATTTGACAACAATGCAGTCATTGGATTCAACTTATGAGTAGTTGAAGAACCATTGGAAACAAAAGGACATTATAAAACTCATCAAATTATATAACATGAAAGGTCTTTCCTAGTCTTATATCTTAATTCATTTTAGAGACAAAAAAGACTGATACTACAGTAATTTAAAAAATGTGTGAGAAAGTGCAAAAGGCAATAAGTATGTGAACTATAACATAGTGAAACCAATATTAAAGAGAAACATTCTCTTCATGAGACATACAATGCTTATCAACAGGAATTTTGACAACAGTCATATATCAAGTAAAAGAAGAAAATGACTACTGATGGCAGAATTGGATTTCCCAGCCATCGTCTATGAGATCTTACATAAATGTTCTCAGTTCAATGTCCTCTGGGTTTGTGACAAAATTGAAAAGTGAGAGTCAGTGATGAGAAACCATACATCATTAACTACATTCATACTTCTGGGACTCACCAATAATCCTCAAGTGCAGGTTCTGATTTTTATACTTCTGTTTGTCACCTATACATTGAGTATAACTGGGAACTTGATCATCATTATACTCACTTTAGTGGATTCTCACCTTAAAAGTGCCATGTACTTTTTCCTCAAAAACTTCTCCTTCTTAGAAACTTTATTCACCACGGCCTGTATTCCCAGGTTCCTCTATAGCTTATCAACTGGAGACAAGACAATTTCCTATAATGCTTGTGTTGCTCAAGTATTTTTTATCATCTTGTTTGGAGCTACAGAATTTTTCCTTCTGACCATCATGTCCTATGATCGATATGTAGCCATCTGTAAGCCCTTGCATTATGTGACCATCATGAACAGCAAAGCCCGCAGTTGGCTTGTTATCTGCTGTTGGGTGGCAGGCTTGTTGGTCATACTACCGCCACTGTGCCTGGGCTTAAACCTGGAATTCTGTGACTATAATGTCATTGATCATTTTCTCTGTGATGCTTCTCCACTGCTAAAAATCTCTTGTTCAGATACCTGGTTCATAGAACAGATGACCATTGCCATTGCTGCACTGACCACCTTCATAACACTTCTGTGTATAGTCCTGTCCTATATTTATATCATCAAAACTATTATAAAGTTTCCTTCTGCTCAGCAACGGATGAAGGCCTTTTCTACCTGCTCTTCTCACATGCTGGTGGTTTCTATCACATATGGGAGCTGTATTTTTGTTTATATCAAACCTTCACCAAAAGACCAAGTAGCAATTAATAAGAGTGTTTCAGTGCTTACTACTTCAGTTGCCCCCATGTTAAACCCATTTATTTATACCCTAAGGAACACACAAGTGAAACAAGCTTTTGCAGACTTAATCAAAAGAATTTCAATGATCTCAAAGTAAAAGAACGTTGAATTTAAACATTTAACTTATCAGACTAGAGCAGATAGCCTTAAGTATATACTCTCACTTTCTTAATTTTTTATCTCTTCCTTATCCTTGGTATAGTATTCCTGTCTTACTTATAGCACTACTGCTTCTTGAATTAACAATTAAAATATTCTTTCACTTCTTTTGGCAAATAAATTTTCTTTGAGGTTACAGCTATCCTCAGAGAAAATGGAATCAGATTTCCAGGATCAAGGAGTCTTGAGTATATTCAAACTAGTTTAGGCAAAAACTAAAAAGAAAGTTATATTATTTAATTAACAGAAAAACAAAGGGCAGTAATGACCATTCTTTTTTCCAATTAAAAAACCTTCCTGACAACAGAAAAAATATCATATATATCAATAATATTCTCAATCAGAAACAAGATAATTTTAAAAAATAAAGAAAACCAGAATGTCACCATATACCTGAAAATTAACATATACAAGTTAAGGAACCTGAAAATATCTAGCTTGAAAAAGGAAACTTTAAACCCCTGTGATTTAGAATTCAGATTCACTGGATTATCTCCAAAATGAAAGATTGGAATCTCTGCACAAATTGATAACCCCCATAATAGGTATCCAATAAACTCTACTGAGGTATCGTAAAGCCATCTTTAGGATGGAAAACCAGGACCAATTTGAAAAAAATGTGCTAATGTCAAATTCTTAATGTAGCTTAAACAAGCCAATAGGAGGCAGGAAGCTTAGCTAGATGAAATAATAGATAGAAATTCAAAAACTAAAGCAGTAAAATATATGGACTGTTCCCTACCCATCTTGTGTACTCTAGGCCTGTGTTCAGTAGCCCTCATCTGTGTACCTGTTACCTTTGTAGAGTTGACTATGGACAAATAACAAATAACTTCAAATTAGCACTCTCAAACACAGATTTCTGGGCTAGCTGGATTTTTATGGTGATCTGGGGAGCAATCAACTAATCTCAGCCTGACTTGTTCTCAGGATCGGCAGGATGAATGTCTGATCTCAGTCACAAATGCAAAAGTAGGATGGTTCTTTATGGAGACTACTAAGTCCACTCCATGTGGTGTTTTATGCTATAGGCCACACTTGCTCACATGAGAGGTCATGTTACTCCAGGGCAGGTCATTCGAGGTCCAATATCCCTCCTACTGCATTGTATTACACAAGCACACTGCACAATCAGACGTGATTCAAGAGAGAAAGTTGACAGAGGGAGGGACAGTCATTATTGCTATTTTTTCAGAGACACTGCACCTTCGTTATCTTTTTAAATGGGATATTTTACAGTTTCCTATTTTGACTTAGTGCTACTTCTCGTTAGTACACACATGGATCCCAGAAAGGAATGGGGTCTAATGTTGCATTTCAAATTAATTTTTAATGAATTATAGCTGGATGAAACTCAAAGATAATATCTTTTGGCTATTCTTAAGTCTTCTTTTAAGAAATGTCTTTCACCCTTTTAAATTGAGTTTTGGGGGCTGTTCTATTAAATTTCTTTGTGATTTCCTTCCATTTTACATTTTGGATATATATATATATATATGAATTTACCCTTATGTTTTCTTTCTAGAAATTTTACAATTTCATGTCTTACACTTAAGTTTTTAATAGGTGGTGATGATCAGATGAAAATTATTGGTCAGAACTTCTAAACACAGAGATACTAATAGAACATCAACAAATAAAATTCAAAATTTGACTGTTTAATAACTGACTCAGGTGACTGATACATTTGGGGCTAAACTGATGCTCTTGTTGCTTTTTTCATATCCAACCCTGCTATGTTTTTAAATGGAGCTATCCTCGATTTATAGTTAAGGATCCTACTGGGTTCTCTTCTGTCTTTTACCTCCATCTCTTCATAAACCCAGTGACAGTTGAATTTTAATAGCCACTTTATTTAAATCAAAATTCAAATCAAAATATTCAAATCAAAATCTGAGCACCAGCTCACCATGTATAAGCTTTTAAAAATTTGAAGCTTTGGAAGATTTTGAGCCTTCAGTGATTTAGTTTTCATGGCTAAGTATCTAATAAGTCAAATTCTAAGTATATTCTCAGATAATAGAGGAAGTTAAAAGCTAAACACACTCTCAACTTTAGTTGTGGGAAGATTTGACTCTTATAATGTAGTTTCTTTTTTTTTTCTAACATGAGACTCACTCTCACTTGACATTATATATTCTCCATGGCTCTGAAAGGATGACTTTTGGTGCCTTATTACTATTTTTATTTTTTTTATGTTTCTGCTTGTGTCAAAGAAATCATTCTTATTTCCAAACACAATGTTCCTGAACTGTAACATTGCAACACACCAAAAAATATATGACTGTATAAGTACATAGTCTTATTTTTCACCAAATACTGCAGTAATTTCTAAGTTTACTGCTTGGTAAATTTTTAATAGGGGATAAATTGGTGCTTAAAACCAATTATCGATTTTAAGGTATCAATGATCTACTATTCTCCTCCTCTACAGTTTCTCAACTAAATGATAAATAATCATTGTGCTGAGATAAGAATGAATATGTCATTATTGTTAACAAAACTGAACTGTATCAGACAGACCAAATTGAGTACTGTATACTAGCCATAAATTAGCAAAACGTGATATTCTAAACAGTACATTAAGCATAATTGATGGTTGCTGGGATTAAAGAATATATTGCATTTTGGTTGGGCTTTGTTTTGTGATGGGGCAACAACAAGCAGGTGGAGTCAACACTAAGTCATGATATGCAGACCAGTCTCAACAATTCAGGAAAGTTCTTTGTCCCCAAGAAAGAATTTACAAAGGGATTAGAAAACATTTTCTCCTTTTTTGTACTTTGCACAGGGGAAATTATTCCAGATTCATGAATCTTGTTTGGAAAGCAAAAGCTGAATATGGTGACTCTTCGAACCTTGATTAATATGATGCCTTTTCCTGGCACCCTCTAAATGTTTCCCTAACCCATAGAGTTTAATTAAGGAAAAAAAAATAACTAATCTTTGAGGGAAAGTATCATATAATTTGTAAGGGCAATCTTCTTTTTTCCCCTTTCCCAAGGAACAGCCTACCTACTAGGAACCACAAAGTGGTGTGTGTGTGTGTGTGTGTGTGTGTGTGTGTGTGTGTGTGTGTATGTTTGCATGTGTGTGTGTGTGTTGCTGGGGATTGAATTCAGAGTCTTACACATGCAAAACCACTGTTCTATTGTTGAGGTACCCCTTATGTCCAGTAACTACCAACCTTTAATGCCCTGGGATAATTGGTGGACCATTCAGATAGTGACCATTGAAAACTTTGAAATAGTTAAAAATTTCATTTTTTTCCAAAATCATGAAGTCTATCTTGTCTCTATGAGGGGTGGAAAATGAGGAGAACAACTATTCTTGGCTAGACATTATGGGAAAATTCAAAATAATTATCCCATTGTTTCTTTAAGAAATCTTCAAATCACATTGATGGTATAATAACTCCAGTAGAAATTCAGTGGTATAGATATCTTAGGTTCATACACTCATGTATAATTCCTGATATGCTTATAATTTATTTTTTGCCCCAGGTGATGGTCATTCAACTCTAGATCAATGGATGGATGTTTCTAACAAATTAGGCTCTATCTTGTTTCTGTTTACTGCCATCAAAGGTCCAAGACATCTTCTGGATATTCATTTACATTTAAAGAAGATTTTCCTAAAATTAAGCCCTTAGAAAATAATGCCTATAGAGTAGGAAGACTATTGCTGATATTTTAATCAAGGTGCCAAGAAGCAGATTTGATGTAATTCACTGAATAATACCATATTTGGAAATGTTGGGAATGAAAGCAGCTATCTTTGATTTTCCTAGCTAAACCATGAGTGGTTTATTCTGAACCCATTATTTTCTTTTTTTTAACTGATTTTTTAAAAAAAAATAAATGACAGTAGAATGTATTATAATTCTTAATACACATATAGAGCATGGGAGGAATAGATGAACTCTAGATAGGGCAGAGGGGTGGGAGAGGAAGGGAGGGGGCAGGGGTTTAGCAATGATGGTGGAATGTGATGGATATCATTACCCAAAGTACATGTATGAAGACATGAATTGGTGTGAGCATACTTTATATATCACAAGATATATGAAAAAATGTGCTCTATATGTGTAATAAGTATTGTAATGCATTCCCATTATTTCTTATTCTCATATTCTGCTCTGATCATGGGAGGTTGTCTCAGTACCAGGAAATCTTCAAGATACTTAATTACATGTCATAACATACTGTTGGGAATCTTGGATAATTGAATCAGCATTACGACACTTCATTTTAAAGTCATTGAAAGTTAGATTCACATGGCTCCTTAGAGCTAAGCCAAACCTCTTTTCTAATATTTGAATAAGGAGTCCAGGAAAGGGAAAGGAATTTACTATATAACACGTGGATCACATACAGACTGAAAACCTTGTTAACTCAACTCTGTTCCTTCCCTGTTTTAGATGTGTGATGGGTCTACAAAAACAATAAGGTACTTGTAGACAGAGACCAAAACTACTTATTCATGATTCTTGATTTGTACGCACATCACTCCAGTCATTGACTCTGCCATCATAAATCTTTTTTTTTGTTTGTTTTCAAACTTTATTTTGTTTATTTTTATGTAGTGCTTGAGTATCAAACCCAGTGCCTCACACATGCCAGGATGTGCTGTACCACTGAGCAACAACCCAGGCCTGCTATCATAACCCCAGATCTGCTGTCATAAATCTTTTTACTGGTGTCTCTGAATACTCTTCCTTCTGAGCATGTGGGTGTCCATGTTTGAATTTCCCTTTCTTATAAGAGCAGTAATCATATTGAATTAGCACCCAACCTAATGACTTAATCATAATTTGATTGTATCTAAAAGGCCCTGCCTCAAAATAACATTAGTTTTTGAAATACTGAAGGTTTGAACTTCACAATGCCATTTTGGATGACACAAGTCAACAGCAAAAATGATGTCCTCTGGCCTGCC